TCGGTCAGTATCAATTGCCTCTTAGACTCCAAGATCTCTCATCTTGAAACCTCGGCATGTTCGTTGTTATTGTGTGCTTTGCCACGAGGTTTTCAGGTGGAGATCTTTATTTCCCATTCGTTATCGACTTTCACTCTTTTAACACATTCACGACGACGCCCCTTTTCCACTTTTCGGTCGCGTGGGACGGACGCGATTTTGTGGGCGCCGCCGCCTCACCACATAACCGCAGATTTTGTTTTGTAAATGAACAAAAACATGAATGTCACAAAATAATTTCTGCAATGTCCAATGCGTAAAGATTATCTAAACATATAACAGTAGGATTTCGATCAGAACGACAAATAGTGGTTACGAAAAGAGAGCATTTATTCACTTTCCCCGTGAAGGAATTTAAAAGCATTTTACACTCGATTACGAGGTTTGCCCACCTATCTGTCCATTCCTAGCGCCTGGCAAGCGAATTATCAGTCATATGGCGGCCGTCGGTCGTAATGTGTTGAAATCTAACATGGCTCAAATGGCTTACGTAATCCCTACCTACCCATCAATCGCGTCATCCCTTCTCAGCGTTTCTGACTCATCCGGGAACGCAAAAGAAATACCCAAAACTTGAAAATAAGCACCTCAGAATCCACCGCTGAGTGCAGGGCTACACTCGTTTAGCACATTAGTAGCGAATGGATGTCACTTAACTGTCTTTATACAGTTGTGATGTTGAGGAAATGCACGTCGCATGTCCTTATCCTCAATTTTCGTAGTTATTCTTCTTTCTCCAAACAATGTTCTCAAGAAAAGCAAAACTGAGAACTCGCCAAGAAGTCGATCTCACGACCTCTTGTTCGTCGGCCCGGGCCGCTGCCACTGCACTATCTCGCTTCATAACTACGTTCAGAGAATCGTTCCGCAGATTTGGAGAGCAGATTCGAGATCAGCGTCCAAAAACACATCTAGTGGTGTATGTCTCGTTACAAATGGCCACTTCGACCTGGTATCCTTCCCTTGTGAGATGAGTCAGAAACGCTGGAAGGATGAGGCGTTTGGTGGGGTAGCGAGCGATTCTTAAAGGAAGCGATTACGATAAAGAGGGAGCGCATCGGGGAAGCATATGCACCACACGAATCAGTTACTTGGCTGCCAGGGAAGCGAGGTGTGGCGCTTTCACGACGAAAGGTGCGCTGGTTGCTGAGATGTCGCTCAGACTCGGCGATTGCATGCGATGGACCAGCGACGGAGCGACGCGATTGCGCAATCGCTTGCAAAGTGCACAAGCGACGGGCGATTGGCCCCGCCCCCAGTCGATGCAGTCGGCTGCGGTATCGATCGAGGGCTCCATGGAAAAGGTCACCGGCGGCGCGGACGCGTTCGCGTGTTGGTGACGTCACAACGGCGGCGAGACAGCGAGCAAGGGCCAGCTTTTCCACCATTACTTCAATATTAAGTACTCCGAGCATCTACTCGTACTCTTACTTCAC